GTGTCTTTAAAATAGCACATACCTCAAAAAGTTACAGCGAGGATTATGCGAGTTAATGGATATAAAATGTTTAGATGAGAGTCAGGGCACAGGGAAGTGCTACCTCAGTATTAGATACTAATTAATGACTAAAAGCATGGACTGCAGAGCTGTTTCCTGAGTTAGAATCCCAGCCCTGCCAGGTGGATGACCTCAAGAAAATGACTTTGCCTCTCTGGGCCTCCATTTCCCTTCTGAAAAACTGAGATAGTATGTACCTCAATCGGGCTGTAAGAGTATTAACTGACTTTGTATAAGTAAAGCCCTTAGAACAGTGACTGGCCTATAGGAAGTACAATAAAATGAATTTATTATCATTATTGCTTTCATTGTTCTATCTTTAGGCTATAGTTCAGTGTAAGATTTTTGAGGCATTGATTTCTTCCTAGTCTTCTGCCTCTAAGATTATTATTTCTCAGTCCCCTCTGCTGCTTCTTTTTCTCTGGTGGCTTCCTAAAAGAAGTCATTCCCTAAGGATATCTTGGCCCTTCGATCATCTCATCCTATCCCTTCTCCTGTAACAATATCATCACTCTAATAGACCCATTATTACCTCTTAGGAAGATGATTTCTAAGGCTAAATTGATAGTCCGGGCCTCTCTGGGGAGCTCCTGACCTTATCGGGACATGGATATTCCTCAGGCATTTCAGACTGTCTCTGGGCAGAACAAAACTTATCTGTTTCCTCAAAACATTTTCTTTTTCCTGTGTTCTTACCACATCAGCTTTGACTTCTCTCTCTCCCCATCCTTCATATACAATCCCTGAATCCTATTGATTCCAATTCACGATAAATTTTGAATGTATCCTCTCCTCTCCATTTTTCCTGTCCTTCTCCAGTTCACAATTACAGTAACCTTCTTTCTCTTTTTAAAGATTTATTTATTTATTTTAGAAAGAGAGATTGTGTGCAGGGAGGGGGAGCAGAGGGAGAAAGAGAGGAATCTCACGCAGAGCCTGAAACAGGGCTCAATCCCACAACCCTGAGATCATGACCTGAGCCAAAACCAAGAGTCGGGACACTTAACCCACTGTGCCACCCAGGTGCCCCACAATTGTAGTAACCTTCCAAAGGATCCTGCCACCTTCTGAAATCACTTTCTGAAATCAATACCACACAATATTCAACATAAAAAGAAAATTAAGTATAGAACATACCCCAGTGTAGATCTGGAAAACACTATGCTGAGCGATATGTATAGTGTACTGAATTAAATAGTGCCTCCCTACCCCAAATTTATGGCCACTCAGAACCTGTGAATGTGATCTTATTTGGAAATAGGAATTTATTTGTAATCAAGTTAAGATGAGGTCATAGTGAATTAGAGAGAGCCCTAAATCCAATATGACTTACAAGAAGAAAAAATTTAGACAACACAGACATGCAGAGACACAGACGCACAGAAGAGAATGCCTTATAAATATAGAGGCAGAGATTAAAGTGATGCATCCAGGAGGCAAGGAAAACCAAAGATTGCCAGCAGGCAACCACCAGTAGTTATGAAGAGGTGAGGAAGGATCCTCTCCTAGAATCATCAGAGAAAGCATGGTGATGGTGTCACCTTGATTTCAGACTTCTAGCCTCCAGAATGGTGAAAAAATAAATTTCTGTTGTTATAAGCCACCCAGTTTATGGTAATTTGTTATTGTAGTTCTAGGAAACTAATATATATGGTATGGATATCACATTTTGTTTATCTACTCATCAGTTGATGGACATTTGAGTTGTTTCCACTTTATGGCTAATAGGAATAATGCTGCTATGAACATTTGTGTTTATGATCCATTTTGAGTTAATTTTAACAGAAGACATGAAGGTTAGATAGGTTCATTTTTTTTACCTATGGACATTCAGTTGATCCAGCATCCTTTGTTGAAGATGTTAAGGAAGCTCCACTGAATTGTTCTTGCACCTTGGTCAAAAATCATTTGGTCTTACTTATGTGGGTCTATTTCTAGCTTTTCTGTTGTGTTCCATTGATCTATGTGTCTACCCCTTCTTCAATACCACACAGTCCTGATTACTGTAACTACACATTAAGACTTAAAATCAAGTTGAGAAATTCCTCCTACTTTATTCCTCTTTCTCAGAATTGTTTTAGCTCTCTAGTTCCTTTGTCTTTCCACATAAATTCTGGAATTATCTATTGTCATGGTCTGTTCAGGCTGTTGTAACAGAATACCACAGACTGGATGACTTATAAATAAGAGAATTTATTTCTCACCATTCTGGAGGCTGGGAAGTCCAAAATCAAGGTGCTAACAGATTCAGTGTCTGGTGAGAGCTCACTTCCAGGTTCATAGAGCATCTGTTTGTGTCCTCACATGGTGAGAGGGGCAAGGGAGCTCCTGGGGTCCCTTCTATAAGGGCACTAATCCCATTCATGAAATTCTGCCCTCATGCCCTAATCCCCTCGCAAAGGCCCCACCTCCAAATACCATCATTTTGGGGATTAGGTTTCAATATATGAATTTTAGGGGAAAGGAAACACAAACATTCAATCTAAAGCATGTATATTTACAAAAAAGGAAAATCTTGCTTTTAATAATCAATATGTGTATTGATTATTGTGTGTAATCAATATGCATATACAATAACAATATGGGTAATATTCCCAAATTTATATCTCTAAGACCAGTCTTTCTCCTGAGCTCCATACTTGAACATCCAACTACCCACTTGACAGCTACACTTCAGTGTTTCATTTTGAATATGTTAATTTTGAGATGCTCATTTCATCTTCAAGTTTATCCTCTGGTCTTCCCCTATCTTAGTAAGTGGTACCACTAACTAGCCAAATGCTCAGACCAAAAACCTTCTTTACGAAAGAGTTTGAGTGTCTTCAAATACACACACACACACACACACACACCAGAATGTCTTTCATTAGTTGAAAAATATTTAATGTTATATTGTTTTAAAGTAAAATCCAAACTACTTACTTAAGTTCCATAAGGTCCTCTCATTACACACCCCTTCCTTCATGATGGTCCAGCCTCAGGCCTCCTTTCTGGTCCAAGCAGGGCAAGGATGAAGGTGAAGTAAGTAAGGTGCCCAGATGCAAAATATAAGAATTCCAAGGTCCTTCCTGAAGAAAGTGCTTCCTTAAATTTTGCTTGTGATGCAAAACAGTATGGTTGCCTTTGATGCCACCAGCTTAAAGCAGTCTCACTTGCCCATCTTAGTCTCAGGCCTGGGTGCAAGCTTTTTCCTGCTTTCAGGCCTTGGTACTAGCCATTTCCTCTGCCAGAATGCTCTGCTTTCTGACTTTTTATGGCTGGCTCCTTGTCATTCAGAATTCTACTCAGGTCTAACTACTTTATCGAAAATAATAACAATAATAGTCTTAGCTAAAATTTATTTACCTCTTACATTGAGACTAACCCTATGCCAAGCCCATGACTTTATTTACTTTATTCAAACAATGCTATATGGTGAGTACTATCATTCTCTCCATTTTACAGATTAGGAAAGCGAAGCAGAAGAAAGGCTAAATTGCTAGAGGGCACACAGCTAACAGTAATAAATGGTTTGGCTAGGAAACCTAAGTGGTTTGATTCCAGAAACCCAGCATACTTATCTCTTTGTGGCACCTCTAATTTGCAATAACCTTATTTATTTGTTTGCTTGCTTATTGTCTCTCCTGGTTAAAATGTGAGCTCCTTGAGGCACCTTGGTTTATCTTTGATGTTGTCTCCCCAAACCTAGTTGTGCCTGGTTGTACTCAACAATCCATAACATTTATTGAAGGAATGCATTTAGAAAACACAGGTGGGGCCCAAAATAACCTAACTACTTAAAAATACTTATCTGTGAAAGTGTCTTAAGGAAACAATTTCAAAATCTTATATTGGAGATTCTCAAGAAAAAAAGTACAACAAAAACTTTTAAAGAATGGTGTATGGCTATTCTCCTTTTAAATCATTTTGATGGGGGCGCCCGGGTGGCTCAGGCAGGGAGCCTGCTGCTCCCACTGCTTGTGCTCCCCCCCTCTTTCTTTCTCGTCAAATAAATAAATAAAATCTTTTAAAACAATCATCTCGAGGGACACAAACATTACTTACTTCTTGATGGATCTAATTTTCTGTGGCAAAGATAATTAATTTGTTACCATTTCATCCAGAAGTTAGATGCAGAAAAGCCAGTTTGAGGTTGGGCGGCTTTCACCTGGAGTTGTTTGTATTATTTACTTGCTCTCTGAACGTTTAAATCATTTCTCCTTAGCACTTTGATCCACTCTCTCCCCAAACTCCCGCTTTGTCGACTCTCTTTTTCCTTTAGGGCATCCATAGTGTCTAGCTGGGAAGGTGTTTGGATGGTTTGAAGTTTCCAAATCTAAGCTGAGATCTGAGGTCACATGAAATTTAAAGGAAAAAGAATTCTTCCTTTGGGATGGTATTTTCTCCTGGCTCCTTTGTCAGCTCCCGTTTGACGGCTTTCTGAATGCAAGCATGGTGCTCCTATCTGTATTCTGACCAAGAGTTGTCCCTCTCCCAGGGGGTCGCATGTTAAAAGACAGGCTTTCTTCTTCATCCCGAGGGAGCGGCTGAAGGGGATGAGGGAGAAAGCCTAGTCTTACTTGGCATTTTAATCCCCATTATGCTCCACCGAAAGTAGGGCATTCCTTGAAGAGCAAGAACTTCATCAAATACCCTAAAAAGAATGAAGAGTAAGTCTCTGAAAGGAATTGGAAGCAGTGGCTAGAGGCGTGGCGCCCGAACCTTATCCGGAGCTTCAGGACCACCGACCCTATCACGTTAGGCAGGGTTGCACCTCCGTAGACCGCAAGGCTGGTCGCTGGATAGAGGGAAGGTGAGGGCCACTACGCATGCCCACGCGCCTGCGCCTAAGGGCGCAAGGCCTCCTGCTCGCACGCGCGCTTTCCCGCGCAACCCTGCGTGCTCCCCCAGTGCGCAGGCGCCGGGGGAGCGGGTGGGCGGTGCAGTGTGCTTAGGGAGAGGTCGGCGGGCATGGCGGCTGGTGCGCTACGTGGGCTGGCAGTGGCCGGTGGAGGCGAGAGTAGCGAAAGCGAGGATGACGGCTGGGAGATTGGTTATCTCGACCGGGCGGTTCAGGTAGCCCAGGAGGCCTTTTTTTGACCGCACCTGGATCAGCACCCCTTGGCCCTTGAAGCCCCAATCTCGTGAAACCTCTTGCTTGCCTGTTTCCCTAGTGCAAATACAGGCTTCTAGACTCCCAACAAACCCGGGGTTTTCCTGTTCCCTTTTGTGCTTTCCATCAAATGCTTCTTTACGTCATCGATGTAGCTCTTCACTTGGGTTTGGATCCATAGTATTACCATTTCCTTTAAAGATAATTTTAGACATGAATTCCTTACGAACTTTGTATGTTGCACTCCCTCCGTCCCCTAAAGAAGATGTACCTGAAACCAGTCATTGTTTTCTGATGTAGTGGAAATGAAAACATAACAATTTTTTTAACTTTCTCTTTTTTAGAAATTAAAAGGGCCATTACTCCCTGAAGAAAAGAATGAAACATTTAAAAAAGCATTGACCACAGGAGATATTTCATTGGTCGAGGAGCTCCTAGATTCTGGTGAGAGATAAGGGATAGTTTCAACCTAACACAATTGTTTACATTTACAAGGGTTCCTTATTTTAAAAGGTTTGAGTTGCTTTCTAGTGGAAGCACAATGAGTGTTAATGTATCAAGTGTTCTATATATCTTACTTGATTCTGAGTTCTCTTTGCTTCCATCAGTTCTTGGACCTCCTTCAAGAAGCCTGTTCTGATTAATCCTACCCCACTCAATTCTTACACATTTTTCTCAGCATTTACTGTCTATAGTATTATTACATGTTTCTCCAGAATTGTTTCTAGTTGTGTATATTTTAGTTATGTTCTTTTTTTTTTTTTTTTTTTTTTTTTTTTTTTTTTTTTTTTTTTTTTTTTTTTTTTTTTTTTTTTTTTTTTTTTTTTTTTTTTTTTTTTTTATTATTTTTATTTATTTGAGAGAGAGAGAAACAGCATGAGAGGGGAGAGGGTCAGAGGGAGAAGCAGGGTCCCCGCTGAGCTGGGAGCCTGATGCGGGACTCGATCCCAGGACTCCGGGATCACGACCTGAGCCGAAGGCAGTCACTTAACCAACTGAGCCACCCAGGCGCCCCTAGTTATGTTCTTTTGTTGTGCTAGGTGTCTGTGTAATGGGGCCTGAGGTAGGAATCACAATATGTGGGTATCTGTTCCAGCTTTATTGCCTGCTAGTTGTGGTTCCTTAGGAAAATCATTTAAACTTCCAATGCATCAGTTTCTTTATGTAAAACGTCATAATTCTGTTCAGGGTCCTGTAACATTTTTCTGTGATCAAAGTAAATACTAATTTTTTTAATTACCTGATGTGGGAATGTGAGTTGTTGATAATAATGATTGAAATTATCCAAAGGAGTAACAGGCATTTACTATTTGTAAATCCAAAACATTCACACAGAATAGATAAATGAGATTGTATATAGCAAAATGTTTTTCTTTTATGCTAGAGACATTGCATGATTTAGTGGAAAAGGAATCATTTTGGAAACAGTACAGTTCTGGGTTTGATTACTAACCCTGCCACCTGATGGCTTTGTAATCCTGACCAAGTTACTTAACCTTCCTAAGCATCAATTTCCCCCTTTTAAAAATGGGGATGCATAATATCAGAGGGTTTGGGGGTGTATTAAAATGAAAGAATACATAAACATCTAAAACATACAGACATTTATAAATATTAGCTGTTGTAACAAAAAAGAAGGATCTGTGTGACTTTGTGGACAGTGGAACTTGAGTTTGTAATTGAAGAATGAAACTAAATAAAATTTGAATAATTGAAACAGGCTTAATACCTAATATGAACACATGCAGGAGTGTGCATAGTGCTGGATGGGATGGAATAGTTAGAAATTCGTTTTAGAAAAGAGAATTCGCCTTGGGGCTTGAGTTTGTAGTAGGACTAGGTGCAGTGAAATGATGGAGGCTCCTGAAAGATTAGGACTTAAAAAGACCTACTGGTGAAGTAGATATTTAGTCAACCTTTTAAAATTTGTTTTTAATTACAAACATTTTAAAAATTAATTTTCAGAAGCCAATAATAAATATATAGGTATAAGTAGAAAGATAACCTTTGTACCCACTTTCTCCCCCAGTACCCCTGAAGTCTTACTTCCACAGGTAACTCTTAATTTAGCGTTTCCTAGTTTCCTTCCAGATGTCATTATTTCACACTTTAAAAAATATTTTTAGTTTTTTGCCTTCCAAAGTTATTCTTGGTTTTGATACATATTTCTGCAATTTCTGCACCAGTTGAGAAGTTTGATAAAAAATGAAAGTTCCCAGGGCGCCTGGGTGGCTCAGTTGGTGAACGACTGCCTTTGGCTTAGGTCATGATCCCAGGGTCCTGGAATCAAGCCCCGCATTGGGCTCCCTGCTCAGCGGGAAACCGGCTTCTCCCTCTCCCACTCCCCCTGCATGTGTTCCTCTTCTCGCTGTCTCTCTCTCTCTCTGTCAATTAAATAAATAAATAAAATCTTTTTAAAAAAAATGAAAGTTCCCTTTGAGTCAGCCACTTCTAACAGTTGAAAGATGTCTCCAGTTTTTGTTATTCTGTTAATATATTCAGTTCTCTTTATTTTTTTTAAGATTTTATTTATCTGAGAGAGAATGAGAGAGAGAACACAAGAGGAGAGAGGGTCAGAGGCAGAAGCAGACTCCCCACTGAGCAGGGAGCCCAATGCGGACTCGATCCTGGGACTCCAGGATCATGACCTGAGCCAAAGGCAGTCGCTTAACCAACTGAGCCACCCAGGCGCACCTGTTCAGTTCTCTTTAAATTACTAAATATTTCATATATTCTAAAAGGTATAGCAGTTTCTCTCCTTACCCCTGGAGATAACCATTCTGCTGTAGTTGATATTTATCATTCCTATGTGTGTCCTTATATTTTTATTAGGTATATATTATCCCCAAACCATATAGTGTTACTTTGAATATTTTTGAGCTACAATCATTTACTGTGTGGATCCTTTTAAACTTAGGCCATTATTACCAAGAAATTCCCTTTTGTTGTAAGTTACGTGGTATATGTTATTATGCACAGTACTTTAAGCATATAAAGGTGGCAATGATTTTTCTTTCAGTGGAGGAGGCTGTTAAAACTTGCTTTTTATACTGACAGGCATTAGTGTAGATTCCAGCTTTCGGTATGGATGGACTCCTCTTATGTATGCTGCTAGTGTTTCCAATGTAGAGCTGGTTCGGGTCCTTCTGGACAGAGGTGCTAATGCAAGCTTTGATAAGGGTAAGGTGTTTTAAACATTTAAAATATGAGTATTTACTTTGTATGTATCTCTGTTTAGAAGCCTAATTATAATGTTTAGGGGTGGTGATGTACACTTTCCATGTTCTGTTTTTATACATTCACTTTAAAATAAGCCTTTGTCCTTGAAAAAAGATAAGGTAAGATGTTGAGGTAACCCGACTGATTTTGTTTACTGCGATTTTCTTGATTCCCAAGCAACTATTATGCAAAGTGAAAAAAGTTAAAGCAGTTTAAAAAACAAGCCTTCCTATTAGTTATATTATGTAATTAAGATACAAAATCAAATTAAAAACCATAGATTTTTTGGAGGGGGAAAACTCTCTTTCCAAGAAGATAGATTGCATTTATATTATCTTAATAACTGCTTATGTTATTATATACCTTTAATTTCTATGCTAGAGGGTTTGGTTATTTTTTAAAGGAAAAATGCATTGAAAGAAAACAAAAGGCTGATAATTTTGTCAAAAATTACTTGAAAACCAGTCTTTAGAATTTAAAACTCAACTCTGAATTATATCACCTAAGGTTGTTTCAAAGATAGCTTATTAAATCCATATGTTTCTTTGTTATTAGATAATTCCTACTCTGTACTGCTTTGGATGCTTTTGAAAAATAAGAGTATATGTGCAAATCCAATTCAATTATTATATTGAATTATTGCTTACTTATTTTTAACATGTTTCCAATAGGCAATTAAATTCATTTCATAATTCAGATATTGATTTCACTTTAGAATTAATTTTCACATTTACTTTGTACCTACATTAGATGTTTGTAAAACCATTTCTATTCTGTTTTGTCATCTATGTATTTTATAAAACTTCCCATCTTTTCAGTAGTTTAATGTTTAATCTGCTTCTATAATACGTTTTTCTTTTTATTATGTCATTTTAAAATATCACCCAATGAAAGCTGGACTTAGGAATGAGATTTCTGAAAGTATATAAAATATTCTCAAAAATAATAATAGTTTTCTTAATTATGGAGAAAAAACTGATGGCTATCAGAGGAGAGATGGATGTGGGGATGGGTGAAATAGGGGATGGGGATTAAGGAGTGCACTTGTGATGAGCACCAGGTGTTGAATGGAAGTGTTGAATCACTGTATTTTACACCTGAAACTAATATACCACTGTGTGTTAACCAACTGGAATTTAAGTAAAAACTTAAAAAATTAAAAAAATTAATAGTTTTCTTTCTCTGCTTTTTGTAATCAGAGGAATACTTAGTTATAAAACAGTTTATATTTTTCTCAGCATGTTCATATAAATTCTTTTATGTATTCAACAATAGCCCCGTCAGGTAAAGAGGGCAGCTCCTATCTCTAAGCTAGGTCTACTGAGATATTAAAGTATCACTGGAGTCGGTTTATCAGTAGCAGAACTGGGACTAGAATCTTTATACTTGATCAGTATTAAACCACTGATGTAAACCATAGCTGCCATGACCTATTTTGAATTCCCCAATTCTTACCTGAAAGGTGTTTTTATTTTTTTAATCTGTGATTCCTTTTGGTGCCATAGTGGCCAAGGGGAGAAGTTTTTAGGAAACAGGGTGAGCTCAGTGAGATCCAGTAGAAAAGGACCAAAAAGAAACCAAAGGATATGGCAGTTAGGTCATTTTCAGTAGGATGATTTGGATAAAAACCAAAATTTCACTGAGATGTCAAATGAATGAGAAATAAAGAAGTGAAATCAGAGAATATCAATTATTGTTTTTCAACTACAAGTTCAGCAAAGCAAATTTTTTTCAACCAAAAACTGTTCAACTCCAGGCAGTATCTCTACACAGCATTCATGTTCTTATCACTTTCCTATTTTCTTAAAGGAAAGGGAATAAAAAAGGGAAATTAAGAAATGAATTATAGATACATATATATATTTTTAAAGATTTTATTTATTTATTTGACAGAGAGAGACACAGCAAGAGAGGGAACACAAGCAGGGGGAGTGGGAGAGGGAGAAGCAGGCTT